TTATTATTATTATTATTATTATTATTATTATTATTATTATTATTATTATTATTATTATTTTGATTTTCCTTTTTTCTTTTGCCTAGTTTCGATCTTTGGAATTACCGTTATTGGGTCAGCTGCCCGGTGAACTTGGCAACGTCTCCCTGACTGCTCTCTACCTAGGCCTCACAAAACTTAGGTATATTGTTGAGTGTTTGGTAGATGGATGCAGTAACTCCATTGTTCGGTGATTGGCAGACAGGTGCTGCATTTCCCTAACTGGTTTTCTCAGCTCAGACTTCAGATGACTTTCGATTACTGTTGAGTGGTTGGTAGATAGGTGCATCTCCTCCACTGTTGATTGGTTGGTAGATAAGTGTATCAGCTCCACTATCGGGTGTTTGGTAGATAGGTCCAGCAACATCCTCACTGTTCTTTCCTGCTAGAGAGTCTGGAAACTTAAGGACCACTCCTGAGTGATTACTACATGGGTGCAGATCATTGTAGGCCGCGTAACTGTGCTCCCCAAAATCAGGTACATTACCAGCTGAAAAAGCTTGATCACAACACTTCATTTCGATGTCTTGCTCTCCAGGACCGACGCAGTAAGCATCGTTAAGGTAAACATTTTTGTTGAAACCATAGCCCGCCTTCTTCTTTGCAGCAATTAATCTTAGAAAAAAAGTAGTTATATTAGCGTACAAACAAGCAAATATTTTGCCGTTATCGCTTTCATGGTCAGGATCCACAATAAAATGCAAAAACACAGGACAATTATCAATGCAGTCTGCTAANAAAAAAAACAAAAAAAAAACGAAAAAACCTGACAATTATCAATGCAGTCTGGTAATCTTCTGACTGATCTTTTAACGTAACATTTTCACGGTAACTGGGGCCATTACCAACGTCACATATGGTTGTGGTTACTGACAAAAGGAAATGATGAAACCCTACCCACTGTTTTTATATTTTTATTTCTCATTGGAGTGACAACATAGATCATGCCGTTATGACATGCATATGCGCACAGCGTATTCGTACTTTTGTCCATAAATTAAGGTGAATTATCCCTGTTTGATTTAACGAAACTTGAAATTTTGACATACGGACAGTGTTTGACAGTGCTAAGGACGTACTTCAATGCAAAACTCCCTAGGCATATTATATGACACCTTATTTATTCTGGATGTTCTAACTCAAATTGACGATTTAGATATGTTCTGAAACTAAAACTGTGCTAGTAAGCTGCCGAGGTCGTACAACGCCGCGCATCCAGTCAGGAAACAGTCACAATGCAAAACCAGCGAGTGAAAATGCACAGCGACGCCAAAATCAAAGCCTCATATAATGGGCTATATAATGTTATTAACGTTTTCCTTTCCTAGCTGAGAAATGTAGTTATTAAGCTCCAACTAGTTTTATTTTGGATTCAACCTGTTCAAGTTCGGTCTCTTACCTTTTCCTTCTCTTGAAACGGAAAAGAAGAGCAATTAAGATAACAACGACCAACATAACACCACCCACAGAAGCTCCTATAATAATGGCATTCACTGGTTTTGGTTCCTTGTCACTTTCTTCTGTTGTTTCTGTAGTGGAGGCTAAAGGCTGGACGCTTACGATGGTACCGCCCACTGATCCTCCAATACTCTGTTCATTACTTTCCACGATGGCTTTTAGGACGTCTTTGTTGATGATATTATCTGAGATCCCCTGAGGAAGTTGCAATTAAAATGCTAACAAGGTGATTGAAGGATTATCTGTCGATTCCTTTGGATAACCAGGAAAAATGTGAACCATATCGATGGTAAATACAATTTTGTCAAACGACCGCTTTCGCCGAGAACTGTAAAAGGTGGAGAAAATACGATGTAAATGATACAAAAAGGTTTAGAGCAAACTTTTTACAGTTTAATCTTAAAATTAAATCAGGTGCATAATTATTGAAACAGCTGTGGAAATATACAAGGTGTTCCTATTTACCTATTTAAAGATATTAAATCACTAATATTTTGTCCCTAAAAGAACTGAGATTACATCAGCATGAAAATTGAGTAGTAGTATTTTGTGGCACGACTTTCAATGTAAAACTTGTTCAAAATGTTAGAGAGAATCAGTCAAACTATCGAGAAATTACAAAGATCATAGCTAAAGATCATAATTCATCAAACGGCCAAAACCAATCATGCACTGAGTGGATTTTTGCTAACTGGATTTTCAGTTTGGAAGAGGAACAACTCTCTGTGTAGAAGCAGCAAACTTTTAAAATGAATGTATATTTGTACTGCAGATATATTTGAGAATACCAATCTTACTTGATTTTTGTGTTTCGTTTGTTTTTTCTTTTTGTAAACGTATTTTGTAGATGGCTATTTACCTTGATGTAGTAAATCCACATCGTGTTCCGTCAAAAGCACAGTAATCTGTCGCTGCCCTTGCAACTTCTTTTTTAAAGTCACTTTCCATTTGGTCATTCCACTTTTTAAAAACAGAAAAAAACGAAACAAAGAAGAAATGTCACATTAAAAAGATTGCATTTGCAAATATTAAAATTACCTGACTTCAACTTCAAATTCGAAATGGTTTTAATCATTTGATTACAACGGAAACCGAAACCACAAGTCAGAATAGCAATACAGGAATAATGAAGATAATGACCAAATACTAACCGTCATCTACATCACTCAGGGACTTCGTCTTTAGCTGCTAAACTTCTCGACTTCTTCTGATCAAATTAGCACGTCAAAAATGCAAGGACAGATATATAATAACGTCTCTTGCCAAAAAATAGTGAGGTTTCAATCCTGACATTCTTTGAAGCCAGCGTCCGACGAGATATCCACAAGGACATCGCCTTAACATTTTTAACAGCCTGGATAGCATACAGACGATCAATTGGAGTCGTATAGCTGAATCAGAAGCCCTAAACATTTGCAAGCCAAAAGACGCGAATGTGATAATTTCATTCAAGTGATTCTTGCTCCAATGTATTTTTTGGTTTGTGTTTTATCATTTACGTTCTATTACTCTCTTTTGTTCAAACAAAGTAGTACAAAACAATGATAACTGAAAAAGTACCTCGTCGATATTTAGGTCTCGAATTTCCATCTCGACAGTCTCTTGTGCTTCTTCTACTGATGGTGTTGGAGGAGCAATGGAGGATATGGAAGTACCTAGGATGAGAAAATATGGATTGTAGGAGTGTGCTTAGAAAATAAGTAAATTGAACGACAGTGATTGAAAATTCTAAAAAATCAAGGCACAAAAACAGTTAATTTTGAAACTACATCTCGATCTTGTCATTTCTAGATAAAAAAATAAAGTCTCCTTCAAAATTAAGGTAGCAATATTGAGCAAACACATTTGCCATTCTCGGATATTGTAGATTGTACATTTTTTCCCAGCATCACTCGACGGTGTCTAGTTTCATAAAATGCCGTTCTCAATATTTCACTGCATACTAGATAGAGTAGATAGAGGTTCAAGGGGTTTTGTATAATGACTAAATTAAAGTGATATTTACTGTAAAAATAGGTTTCAGTCGTAATAATTTGTTACAGTCTAGTGAGACATGTATTCTTGAAGAGTAAATATTTTGGAGAAAGGATATTTGATCCAATTTCTCCTTAACCAAGGTGGCCACAGGAATTTCTCAAGAAAGCTATACATCAACAAATCAAAACAAAATCATCTTGAATCGATAGGTGAACATATCATATACCTGGTTCTATCAACTATACTGAGGCTAAGTGTTTTTCTCTAAATAGAAACGATGGCAAATAGGCAATACCTGATAAAGAAGACGAAGGCAAGGAAGAAGAGGATGAAGGTCCCTTGGGGGATGGACTAAACGCCGATTGCCCTGTAGACGAAGAAGCTTGGCTAGAGGGAGGACTAAATGTGGATTGCCCTGAAGACGACGAAGCTTGGCTAGAGGAAGGACTAGAAGTCGATGGCCCTGAAGACGATGAAGCTTGGCTAGAGGAAGGACTAGACGTCGATGGATCTGACATCACTGAAGGCGAAAATATGGGCGTTGTGGAAAACGTTGGAGATGCAGTGTGCCCCTGGCAGCTTCCAGTGCTAATTGAGACATCATCGATCGCTAAGTCACCCGTGTAAGAGGATCCTACTATTCCTTCAAATGTCACCTAGATGAATTACAGAAGAACGAAAAGTTGTTATTCCATTGGTAATCTCAGGTAAAACAGAAATGATGTCCTTGATAATGATAAATCGTCTAGCTAGGTTAAGGGTCAAAGGGTCGAAGAAAGGGTCAAAGAAAAGTGATTAACAAGGAGACTTGTTTTTTTTTTCCCTGGTTTGTCTGCGCCTGACTGTGTGTCGCTGTCTGTAGTTTTTCCTCTTTTTATGTTTGTGTTTGAATTTCATGTGTTATTGTGTCATCAGTAAACGTACATGTATTTTTATATGACTGTACGAAAAATAAAATGTACAACACGTTGCTCAAAGCTTACTTGTCAAAGACGCGTAATGTTTTCCATTTTAATTGTAAAAATTCTTTCGAAGGTAGAGGATGAAATTTTCAGTGATTTGCCAGATAAATCATGTGTCTACAGTTTAAAACTTACAATGCTATCCAAATGAATGGTAATCTCCGCCTTTATCCAAGTGTTGCCATGGTTAGCTGATGTGTTAAAAACTACCGCACTTCCGCTGAAGACTGTAAGAGTGCCCATAGTGTCTCCATACATGTGATAATAGAACTCGAGACAAGAAAATCTTCCATTTCCAGGTACAGCAAACTCAAGCTTTGCGTTATCACCGGCGACTCGGGGGAACGACGTCTCGATATACATATAGTATCCTGTGAACGCAAAAAAACATATCTGCCCGACCGAAAGCATAACAAATATATATATAT